GGCTAGGAAACATTAGTTTAATATTCTGATACACACACATAAATATTGCATTTAAAATAGTTACATGAGACTGAAAACTGAACATAATTCTTTAGAGCAGGATTATAAGGTGGAAAAGTCTTTAGGAACTTACAAACCCACACTTAGTTGTCTTGTTTCCTAGAGCAGGTCCTACTTAGTACCACTGTAGGGTTATAAGATAAAGGAAATGTAGTCCTGCCTCCTTGACTCTTAGTACCTAGAAGTCACAGATACCTCTTCAGCAGCATTTTCAGATAATGAGGCATTGCTACTGTCATCCAACTTGTTTTCCTCCCTCACTCCTCTATTGTCACCTGGAAGACTTATGTAAAAGTAAAGCGGAATACCTTTGGGAATCAAACTAGAATAGTAGTCAGTAAACAATTACAGGCAAACTGTGGCTACACTTCAGGAAACAAATGTAAAAGAGTTAAACAAAATTGAAGTTGATTTCTTTAACCACAAATATAGATAGTTGGTCCAAAGCTGGAGTGGTGGCTCCATGATGTCAGGGCTCAGGATCGTTCTCTCTCATTCTATTGTACTAGATCATCTGATCATCTTGAACTTGTAGATTCCATATGGTGGTCCAAGAGGGCTGCAGGCATCTTAGACCTGTACCCTGCACCCAAACTGGCAGGTAAACTGCAAACCAAGGGAACAAGAAGGGCCTACCACTCCTTTAAGACATTTCATGGCAGCTGCACATACAGCTCCCATTTATATGCCATTGGTCACAATTTGGTCATACAGCCAACTTAGCCATAACAGAGGGTGGAAATGCATTCTTTGTATCATGCACCCAGGTACATTGCTGAAACTTGGGGACTCTATTACTACAGATTTAAAAAGGGATTGTGACCCACAAAAAAAGTTTTTTTAAAAAATAGAAGACAGTATCAAATAGTGGGGGATAAATAGCAGCCCCATCCTAAAGTTTCTCTTTCCCTTTTTTGTAACGACCAATGTTACAGTACTTATTAAAGATTGAGTACTCCCTAAGTATTGTTGGTTTTGTTTTAGTTGTTTGACTGATTTATTAAATCATTTAATCCTTACAATAACACTCTGGGTAAGGTTCTATTATTCACTTTTTACAATTGAGGAAATTGAAGCACAGAGAAATAAAATAACTTGCCCAAGGTAACACAGCTAGAAAATGGCAGAGGTGGAATTTGAACCAGGCAATTTGACTTATCCATTATGCTATACTACCTTCTCTCTGCTATATTTCAGAATATTTTTAGTTCTTTAGATGAGGCAAGGAAAAAGGCCTAATCTACATAATTTTTTATTCAGAAAATAAGGGTAGGGTAATTTTTTATTCAGAAAACAAGGGTATAAGGGTAATATAAGGGTAATATTAGGGTATAAGGGTAATTTTTTTATTTAGAAAACAAGATATAAGGGTAATATACCTATTAGCTAGTAATGTCTTTTTCTTTTTCTTTCTTTTTTTTTTTTTTTTTTTTTTGAGACAGAGTCTCACTCTGTCCACCAGGCTGAAGTACAGTGGCACAGTCTTGGCTCACTGCAACCTCTGCCTCCCGGGTGCAAGTGATTCTCCTGCCTCAACCTCCTGAGTAGCTGGGATTACAGGCACGCGCCATCACGCCAGGCTAATTTTTTGCATTTTTAGTAGCGACAGGGTTTCACCATGTTGGTCAGGCTGGTCTCGAACTCCTGACCTGATGATCCACCCACCCGCTTTGGCCTCCCAAAGTGCTGGGATTACAGGCGTGAGCCACCGTGCCCGACCAATTAGCTAGTAATTTCAAGGACTCACTTACAGGGCCTTTTTCTACATTCAGGGCCTTTTCAACTCCTATTTCCTGTTCCATAATCATTTTTGCAAGTCTGATTCCTTATCATTCAATTCTGAATTCTAATGTCACGTCCTCAAAAAAGCCTTCCTGACCATCCTATTTAAATTTACAGCTATCTCCACCCATCATTTCTTCTTTCATAGCACATGTCACCCTCTAAAATCATTTTTTATACTTACTTGTCTACTGCTTGTCTCTCCCTACCAGAATGTAAGGTTTAAGACACATGTTTTCTCTACCTCATTCTTTCCAGTTGCCTCAGCATCTATGTATGCAATTCGTATTTGGTAAATATGAGAAAAAGAAAAATAGCCCTTGGTGTCACCAACGGAACTGACACTTCAGTGTTGTTAGGAATTGGCTGTGGTGTTCCCCTGTTAAAACATAACAATCTCACAAAACACTAACATCATACTGAGAGGTGACAATGTGCTAGCAGCCCTCACTCTCAGCGACTCCTCGGCCTCCGGCCTCAGCGTCCACTCTGGCCGGGCCTGAGGAGCCCTTCACCCCGCCACAGCACCGTGGGAGCCCTCTCTGGGCTAGCTGAGGCCTGAGCCTCCTCCCTCTGCTTGCGGGGAGGTGTGGAGGGAGGAGAGGCGTGGGTGGGAACCGGGGCTGTGCTCGCGGTGAGGTGTGAGTTCTGGGGGCGCCCGCGCAGGTGCCAGCTCTGGCTCAGCACCCTGCACACGGAGCAGCCGGCTGGCACCACAGGCCCAGGGCAGTGAGGGGCTTAGCACCCAGGCTAGCAGCTGCAGAGGTTGCGCCGGGTCCCCCAGCAGTGCCGGCGGGCCAGTGCTGCACTCAAAATCTCGCCGGGTTTAGCTGCCTCCAGGCGGGGCAGGGCTTGGGACCTGCAGCCCGCCATGTCTGAGCTCCCGGCCTGCGGTGGGCTCCCGCCTCCCCAACGGGCGCCACCCTCTGCTCTGTGGTGCCCGGTGCCATGGACAGCCCAAGGGCTGAGGAGTGCAGGCGTGGCTCCCGACTGGCGAGCAGCTCTGCCTGCAGCCCTGGTGCAGGAGCCACTAGGTGAAGCCAGCTGGGCTCCTGAGCTGGATGGGGATGGGGAACTTTTATATCTAGCCAGAGGATTGTATGCACACCAATCAGCACTCTGTGTCTAGCTCAGGGTTTGTAAATACACCTATCACTACTCTGTGTCTAGCTCAAGGTTTGTGAATACCCTCTGTATCTAGGTAACCTACTGGGGACTTGGAGGACTACCATTCTGTGACTGTGTCTGGCTCAAGGATTATATATGCACCAACCAGCACTCACTCTGTGTCTAGCTCAAGGTTTGTAAATACACCAATTGGTACTCCGTATCTAGCTAACTCTGTATCTAGCTAACTAGCACTCTGTGACTCTGTGTCTAGCTCAAGGATTGTAAATGCACCAATCAGCACTCTGTCAAAACGGACCAATCAGCTCTCTATAAAGTGGACCAATCACCTCTCTTTAAAATGGACCAATCAGCAGGATGTGGATGTGGCCAGGTAAGGGAATAAAAGCAGGCTGCGCGGGCCAGTAGTGGCAACCTAGATCCCCTTCCACACTGTGGAAGCTTTGTTCTTTTGCTCTTTGCAGTAAGTCTTGCTGCTGCTCACTCTGTGAGTCCATGCTGCCTTTGTGAGCTGTAACACTCACCGGGAAGGTCTGCAGCTTCACTCCTGACAGTGAGACTATGAACCCACCAGAAGGAAGAAGCTCCAGACCCATCTGAACCTCTGAAGGAACAAACTGCAGACACACCATCTTTAGGAACTGTAACACTCACCGGGAGGGTCTGCAGCTTCATTCTTGAAGTCCGTGAGACCAAGAACCCACCAAGTCCGGACACAATACCAGGTCATTCTGTGATCATATGAAGTGAGACAACAAACAAGATCACACTATTTTTGCCTAACCAGATTTTAAAAAAGGTCACTGTGCAAACTACAAAAATATCAAACTATCCTCCTCCCCCAGCTAATATGATTGTTGCTTCTTTACCGATTACAACTTTAGCCTTGCACTTTTCCTCCCTCCTAAAGATGTAGTATGATCCCCAATGGGGTGGACCTCACAGCCAATGCATGCTGAGTCACACTCCACAGCCAATCCCAAGCCACATCAGGCTCGCCCCTGCCTGTACACAATAATTTCTCCATGCACCTAATCGTCTTCTGAAACTCCCTGTACCTAGCTGAAGAGTATATTCCCTTAATCAATGATTACTTTTGTTCCCTCCTTTAGAACTGAAAAACAATGCTAACGCCTCTCCCACTCCCTCTAGCCTCTCATCCTCTTAAAATAGAAGAGAAAAAAAATCCAAACATAAAACTCAATTTTTAACAAAAACTCTCCTTTCGCTGACACTGCCCTCCCCAAATAAGTCACCAGTGAGTTCCTTCCTTGTTTTCCTAGAGACTTTTCTTTTTTGCTTTTTAGTGTAATTTTTCTTCCTCCTTCAGTCTCACATGTCCCTTTCATTCTTAGCTTGCTCATCAAACTCATATCAAGGAAAATAAGTTCCTTTCCGCTTTTTAACCCCTCACCCCCATCTCAAATGACAAATGCATCTAGGAATCCCTTTTCACACTCACTCTGGCATTGCCCTCTCTCAGGAACCTTCCAAAGTTATTCTAACCCGACCCCTCCACTTGTACAAGCCCAGCGGCCCCATAGCTTGCCCATCCTTGCAAACCAGTACTCGTCCTATAACCTGCCCCAACCCGATCAGTCGCATACAACCGATTCGAGCCCTGGGCCCAAATTCCATACCCATATCCAAGTCCCCGCCCCACTAACTCCAGCCCCGCACCTATGCGTGCCTGAACCTGCACGTGATCCCGGCCGACTCCACAGCCAATGAGTTCCCTGAGACCCATAGCCAATCCCCGGCCACGTCCAGGCCCGCCTCCATCTTGTCCCCTTCCTCACTCAAGCCCAACGCGCTGCCCCCACCCCTTCCCTCCTCCATTTCCATCCGGTCCGCGATCGCGGCGGACTCCACAGTCAACGCGCGCCGTGAGTCACACTCCACAGCCAATCCCTGGCCACATCCGGGCTCGCCCCCGGCCCGCCCCATTGTTCCCACAAGCCCGGAACCCACCAAATCCCGACCCTCCCCTCCCAAAAAAACACCCCTTATCCAGTCTTTTCCAGCCTAGAGATCACGGCCTAGCCCTCAGCCAAAGCGCGCACTGAGTGCAAACCCCAGTCAATCCGTGCCCCGGCTCCGCCCCCCGCGTCCGAATCCCGCCCAGCTAGACCCTCAAGCCCAGGCGGGTCTCGAGCCTGGAGAAGCAAGGTTCCCGCACCAGATAGGTGAGTGGGGAGGGCGCGCGACCCGGCTCGGCGCGGCGCTTCCGTGCGGACTGATGAGGGCCTTTCCGGCATGCGGGGCGAGGGGACGGAGGCCGGGCTGCTCTTGCCTGAGTCACGCGGGGGCCGCCTGCTGGGGCGGCTGCAGGGAGTCGGCCCTGGATTAACAGTTTGAGGGGAAGGCGCCGAGGTGACTGGCCTCCAAGAGGGATCCCCTAGGCCCGGTCACCGTCTTGGCGCTTTTACTCTTGATTTCGCTGTTTGGGCTTTTAGAAGGTAGTCTGAGAAGAGTGACTTTGGGACTTCTAATTAAAAAATCCAAAAGACGCTGACGCCTATAATCCCAGCACTTTGGGAGGCCGAGGCGGTCGGATCGTGAGGTCATGAGATCGAGACCATCCTGGCTAACACTGTGAAAAATACAAAAAATTAGCCGGGCATCGTGGCGGGAGCCTGTAGTCCCAGCTACTTGGGAAGCTGAGGCAGGAGAATGGCGTGAGCCCGTGGGCGGAGCTTGCAGTGAGCCGAGATTGCGCCACTGCACTCCAGCCTGGGCGACAGAGCGAGACTCCGTCTCAAAAAAAAAAAAAAAAAAAAAAAATTCCAAAAGGAGGTTACCAAGGCTGTTACGTTGCCTTATAAATGAAGCTTAGCAGAATCCAACATCTGTAGTTAACAGAGAAAAGTAGTCAAGTCTGTTGCTTTTGGAGTCAAGTGGCGCAGAAATGGCCTTCCTTCGCTTCTCCCACGCATGGCTCCTTAGCGGCCACCTGAGGAGGACTGGGGCTGCAGGTCAGCCCTTAGGAAGTCTGACCTCGGGAGCTAAAACCGAATTCCTGGTATCACGCAGGCAGCCACAGTGCTTTCCCTCTGGAGAATTTTATAGTTACACGAATCCCATTTTCGTAGAACAGTTTTTCAGCAGTTTCAGGCTGGTGACTCCTTAAATCATGTGCTGCCCAACTTTGGCCAATCCTTTCCGCTATTGTTCTAAAGACTTAGCTTTGAAGCCCATCCTTCCACAGTACTCCCCCGTCCAGGACTTTGTTCACCGCCTAGATTACGTGTGTTGTATCAGTGAACCTTATAAACATTCTAGAAGCAAACTAACAAGGTAGAGTATGAAAGGAAAATCAGTTTTCCAGTGGTCGGACTCTTGTAACAGTGTGGGCGGCGCATTATTAGCTGTAGCCCTTTTTGCCTCATGTTAATCTTGCTTGAACTTTGCAGTTAACACAGATGTTCTGGGCTTTGTCAAATTAAATCTCTTCCTACCTCTCCTCCCCATGTGTAAAGTATAAATTGATCATTTGGATTTAAGTCTGGAGCTTTAAGCTTCATAAGATTTATTTTGACTGCCTTGTCTGCCTTTTAGCTTTATATTCGGCCCTCAAAAATTCACCAGCTTTCTCAGCTTCAGGCCACCCCCAAATCTGCCAAGCGTGCCTTCTGAATCTTCATTTTAAACAGTCTAACCCATTGATAATAAATCGACAGTTTCATTTCTATAGATCGTGCGTTTTGGAATGTAGACTTTATGCATAATATGCTATAATTAGATCACATAGATCATCCTGATTCATAAGTTGCCAGGTTTTCTTCACAGAAGTTGTTTTTAGGGAGAAAAATACAATGAAACTATTGTTTAGAATTAAGAGCCATATACCTTTTTATTTTCTCCAACCTTTCGGTGACATCTAAATTTAATGTATTTATCTCATTGGTCAATATATATATGCAGTGTTGATTGCATTAGAAAATGCTGCTCAAAATGTGTTTACTTAATAAAATGCCTGGTACCTAGAGAGTATGGCTCACCTAGTCTGGGGTGAAATCTCCCAGAAGCTGCACTCCAAGCTCACTTGCTTTTATTATTAGCACATTACCTCTATCATGCAGTGTACTTCCTGGCGACTGACCCAGCTTTTCCTTTCTCTTCCACTTTCCAAAGTTTCAACTGTTGTCTTTTGGGACTGTTGTGCCGTAATCAGCAAATTCCATTGTATCTTTATGTCTGTAGAGGGTTCCCTCTACCTGCTTGCTTTAACTCAAATCTTATTAATTTATTCATCTATTGTGAAAAATGGAGAAACTGAGGCCCAGCAGGAGTCCATAACTTGACTACAGATAGAAACTTCTTAAGATTGAATTCGACTTTAATCTCTTAATGTGGTGAATCACATTAATAGGTTTCTTATATAAACCCAACCCCCCTTGGTCATGATGTATTATTCTTCTTGTATTCTACTGGGTTTGATTTGTTAGCATTTTATGTAGAAGTTCCATTTAGTTTCCATAGATTGGGTCTCTTTTCTCTAAGGTTTGATAACTGTTAGACGAAATGCCATCCACTGATATAGCAGCCTTACACTTAAGAGGCTTAAGAGAACAACATTCTCAGAGTAAAACCTTATGAGAAATATCTATTTGCCTGAATGTTTTTAGAAAACTGGGTTTTCTTTCCACTTCCAAGTAGCAGTATTATTATAATAGAGTTTCATTGCCTTAATCTTCCTCCATTTACCCATGATGGATATCAATTTCCTTACAGGTAGAGAAGCAATTCAGAATGCATGCCTATCATGCCACTGGAATCCACTAAAATGGCTTGCGGGAATTGTTGGAGGAAGTACCTTCAGAATAACCTAAGATTCACTCATATATTCTTTCTATTTATCAAAGACCTACTATCATTCATCTTTTCAAATAACTTTTTAAATAATTGTTCCTAACAACTTTAATTTACTGTTACAAATTGTGCTTTTACTAGTGACTGTTATTCAGAGGATTCTGAAATTTGAGTCGTTCCTAGATTGAAATACTCTGGATTTTATGGCTGCTAGAAATGGAACTTTCACTTACTGAAATTTAATGCTCTTGACTAAATTAAAGCCTTGGTTTCTGAATTAAGAATATTCTTACAGCTCTCTAGTTTGAAATGATGTGAATATAAATTTGTATAAGGAAGAATACATTTATTAGAATACTTCCAGTGATGAGAGATTATATCATAGAAAGAAAACTTGAAAGAAAGTAAGCTCACTTATCAAAAATATTTGCTTGGATTTTACGTAAGCTTATGATATACCAGCTGGGGTAAGTGTCTGATAATGATGTACCCATCATATATTTATTCCTCTTCTCAACTTTTCTTTTATTTAATAGCATGTTTTTGGCCCAGAGGAGCCTCTGCTTTCCTAGTGGTAGAGCAAAATTCCTGAAGACAATTTCTTCTTCCAAAATCCTCGGATTCTCTGCTTCTGCTGTAGGTATTGCTTACTTACAGATAAATTATTGTACATATTCTGCACTGTCCAAAAAATACGTAATTCTTTATGTAATTCTTCAGATGCTTTTTTACAAATATTTTATTGAAATGAACATTTCTATTATATATGATGGAGGTGTCTCTTGTCGTTGACTAGAATTAACATTCACTGAGCAACTGCTTGCCTGTCTGTGGATCGGGCAATGTGCTGGTCATTATATATTCATTACCTCATTTTTGTCTTCACAAAACTGTTCAAGTTATGAATATAAGTCCAGTGGCATGGGAAAAAAAGTAGGAGAGGATATCTCAGGAGGACTGCTCAGGGATGGAAAAAGGTTTAAAAACTATAACCACCAAATACAATGCGTACATCTGCTTTAGGAACTTTATTCAGTCAACCAAAATGCATTTTTTAAAGACAATCAGAGAGATAAGAATGTGGATTGGGTATTAGATGATAACAAGAAATTATTGTTGGTGAGGTGTGGTAATGAAATTGCAGTTATATAAGCGGCAATACTTTTGAGATATATGCCAAGTATGTAGGAGTGTAATGACTTAAGGTCTAAGATTTGCTTTAAAATTACTCAGCAATTAAAGAAAAAAAAAAAGGAGGCAAAATCTTGAGAATTACTGAATCCGGGTAGTGTGCATATGAGTGTTTTATATTAGGTTAAAATATATGAAATTGCTATTTTTGTATGAAAATTCCATTTTTGGCATATGAAGTGCCATTTTTGTCATAAATGGTTGAATATTGGCAATTTTATGTTCAACCTAATTCTAATCTCTCAACTGGTTTAAAATTTTCTCAATGGTTTAAAATTTTCATAAAAACCATCATCAGTGTCTTCTATATGTAAATCCTATGAATTCTACCTCATAACTGTCTTGAATTCTCTCCTCTTTAATGCCACCGTGACCACCTTTTTCAGGCCCTCTCCCAACATAGAAGTTGATTGAAGCCAAGGAAGTGGGTGTGCTTCACCAAGGTGATCATATGAAACCATGGCACTAAAAGGGCATTTGTGTGCAGAATCCTCGTTTGTGGAACTTTTATTAGACTACGTATACCAGGGCCCACCATTATGCATTCTGATTCTACATATCTGGAATGTATTTTGAAAAATCTTTCCAGGTGATTCTGATGTGTGTCCCAGGCAAGAACCACTAACAATGCATTATTCAGACTTGTGGACCATTTGGGATAGCACTAAATCCTCTCCATGCCTAGCAGTGGAATGGTTGGGTTGTGTGGTAGCTTTATGTTTAATTAAGTAACTGCCAAAGTGTTTGTATCATTTTAACTACACTGAAAAACTATCTATAGTTCATCAGAGGCTTTGCATTTAAAATAATCGCACAGGGATAAAGAGATAAGTATTCTTCCTATTGCTGGGCAAATGAAAAACACTGGCCAGTGTTACAAAAGCAACAGTGATAAGTTTAAATCAAGAAAGAGTTGTCAGAACCAGCCAGATAAGTTACTGTGAACCTACTTAGAATATTTGTGTCAACCACATCATCCTTAATGTCATTGAAAACCTACTGGGAAGGTTACCTCCAAGTGAGGGAATAGAATGGAGGATAGACTGTACTTTCCTGTATTACTTGCTTTTTTACAAAAACATTTTATGTATTCTCTAATTTTAAAGAATGTTTTGAATGCTAAAGGAAAAATGTAGGTGAGGCGTGGTGGTTCACACCTGCAGTCCCAGCACTTTGGGAGGCTGAGGCCAGTGGATTGCTTGAGACAAGGAGTTCAAGACCAGCCTGGGCAACATGGCAAAACCCCATCTCTATTAAACATACAAAACATTAGCCGGGCACACTGCTGTAGTCCCAGCTACTTGTGAGGCTGAGGTGGGGGAATCACCTGAGCCCAGGAAGTTGAGGCTGCAGTGAGCTATGTTTGCACCACTGCTCTCCAGTCTAGGTGATAGGAGTGATATGCTGTCTCAAAAAAAAAAAAAAAAAAGAAAGAAAGAAAAGAAAAGAAAAAAATGTACTGCAATACAACAAGAAGAGAAAAAAAGAAAAGAGAGAAACTCAGAATAAAAATCTTTTTTGGTCCTCTCTTTTAGCACCTAGATCTTAAAGAGTTAGAAATTGGAAGGTAATTTTATATTATCCTCTAGTGCCAGAATGCCAGTGAATGTTGATGGATAGATGACTGATAGAAAGAGAAAGAAGGAAAGAAGCAAAGATTTCACAAATGAGTTTTGACAAATGTGTGACATGCATCCATGCTGAGTAGTTTCCCTAGGAAGTCTTATATAAAGAAGAATTTGTTGAAGATAAGCAGTTGATAGATTATTAATGAAAGAAGACTAGAAAACCAGATGGAATACAAATTGCAATCTGGGCCAGGTGCAGTTGCTCACGCCTGTAATCCCACCACTTTAGGAGGCCGAGGCTGGCAGATCACCTGAGGTCAGGAGTTTGATACCAGCCCAGCCAACACGGTGAAACGCCATCTCTACTAAAAATACAAAAATTAGCCGGGTGTGGTGGTGGGCACCTGTAATCCCAGTTAGTAGAGAGGCTGAGGCAGGAGTATCACTTGAACCCAGGAAGCAGAGGTTGCAGTGAGCTGACAGGGGGCCACTGCACTCCAGCCTGAGTGACAGAGTGAGACTCCGTCTGAAACAAAACAAAAAAAAAAATTGCAATCTGAAGGACTAAACCTGAAATGAAGGTTAGTCTAACAAAGGGTGACATGTGATAGAGGGGGTGTCAAGGGAGTATGTGGGAACTCCCTGTACTTTCTGTTCAATTTTGGCACGAACCTAAAACTGCACTAAAAAATAGCCTGTGGTTTTTTTTCTTTTTTTGAGACGGAGTCTCGCACTGTCGCCTAGGCTGGAGTGCAGTAGCACGATCTCAGCTCACTGCAACCTCTGCCTCCCAGGTTCACACCATTCTCCTGTGTCAGCCTCCCAAGTAGCTGGGACTACAGGCACCTGCCACCACACCTGGCTAATTTTTTGTATTTTTAGTAGAAATGGGGTTTCACCGTGTTAGCCAGGATGGTCTCCATCTCCTGACCTCATGATCCGCCCGCCTCAGCCTCCCAAAGTACTGGGATTACAGGCATGAGCCACCGTGCCTGGACCTAAAATGGTCTATTAATTTTTTTTTTTTAAAGAGATTCTAAAATTTAAATGTCCACCAGAGAAGCACAAAAGCAACACTGGACAAAACCTTTTCCTTAGGTCTGTCCTTCCTTAGAAGTCAACTGTCTCTCTTTCTCTTTTTTTTTTTCATACAGAGTCTTACTCTTGCTGCCCAGGCTGGAATATAATGGCACAATCTCGGCTCACTGCAGCCTCCACCTCTTGGGTTCAAGCGATTCTCCTGCCTCAGCCTCCTGAGTAGCTGGGACTATAGGTGCCCACCACCACTCCTGGCCAATTTTTGTATTTTTTGTAGAGACGGGGTTTTGCCATGTTGGCCAGACTGGTCTCAAACTCCTGGGCTCAAGCGATCCACCCTCCTCAACCTCCCAAAGTGCTGAGATTACAGGCATGAGTCACCGTGTCCAGCCCAACCCTCTCTTTTGACGCGAAAGTATTACCTTTTGTACGTTTAGTCCATACCCAACATTTCTTTGCCTCCTTTAGTGCAAAGTTACTCATCCTACTTGTATCTAAGAGAATCTTTTCTACTTTCTGAGTGGGCACTAGTATATATATTGTATGCCATGAACTATATTTTTCCGCTTATGGCTTTGCCTCATTTAATTACCATAGCACTTACTTGGGGCAGGTATTCATTTTCCTGCTTAGCAAATAAGGAAACTGAATTTCAGAGACATCAGGTAAACTGCCTACTTCACACACTAGGAGTTTTGATGTTTACCTTTGAACTAAGATCTATCTGGCTTGAAAGCTCTTTGCATTAAACAACCTTGAACAACATTCTTAGAACGTAGGTGTATTTTTGGCATCAGAACATGGCATGTGTATGAGGGACTGAGCACAGACTCGCCCAGATTCAGACTTACCAATCTTCCTGTTTCGTGTGCCCAGCAGAAACAACCTGTTTCTCAACCTCAAACCCAAACTTCCAGTTGTCCTGATCGGTTCAGCCTGACTCTGTCCAACTCTGATTCAATTATAGCTGTCATTGGGGGGACTGAGATTACACAGTGTAGGCAAGCCAAAGGGCCCCAGGCCTATTGATATGGGTGAGGACAATACTCACACACTCCCTTCACTTACTCACTCTTCCAAGGTCTTGACTTGAACCCAGTTTTTTTTTGAGAGAATAAATCAGACTTTTTGTTCTCTGCTTGGCCTGACTCCATTTCTGGCATTCCAGCCATGTGTTTACCTATGTTATCAGCTCTCGGGTTTAGAGAAAGCCTTGTTTCCAATAAGCTTGTTTCTCTGAAGTAATTGTTAAAAGATAATTTTTGGAAAAAGGTTAAATCATGACTCATACAAATATAAAAACAAGCGTGTGCCAAAGATTTTTATTTTACTCATGTGATATGAGGTAACCAGACAGAAGTTATAACCAGTACAGAGGGAAAGTCAAAAAGTACAAATTTATATGTAGTAAAGGAATTGGATTGCAAACGAAGGCAAAACTGTTTTTTCTACAGGGTAGAAGGAAGGTAATCAAAATGCTAGAACCAGAGTTTGCATGCCTATCACTTAGCTTCAATTTACAAAAGCGCAAAATAACTCAAAGGCAAATTCTAGCCCTACAAATATCAGCTCTAAAGCTGTGCTGTGGCCAGTGAATAGTCTTCTATTGAAGTACAATTTTTCCCCAAATATATTATCTCTCAGAGGGAGTCCAAATTGTTTCCCTTTCACTCAGCAGATCTGTTCAGTCAACAGATGTTAAATAGTTACAGCGTATCAGGCACAAATAATTCTTTATAAAATAAAGTAACAAAATATATGTTGTTTCAAAGTTCCAGTTAAGACCAGCCATGGTAGCTCACCCTTATAATCCCAACACTTTGGGAGGCCGAAGCAGGCGGATCACTTGGGCTAGGAGTTCGATACCAGCATGGCCAACATGGTGAAACCCCCCTACTAAAAATACAAAAATTAGCCAGGTGTGGTGGTGCATGCCTGCAATCCAAGCTACTCAGGTGGCTGAGGCACAATAATCGCATGAGCCTGGGAGGCAGAGGTTGCAGTGAGCCAAGATTGCACCACTGCACTCCAGCCTGGGCGACTGTGTGGAACTCTGTCTACAAAAAAAAAAAAAAAAAAAAAAAAGCTACAACAAAAGGGTTCCTGTTAATTATACACACTTTTGAGCTTAATATAATTGCATTTTTTCTTTATGTATCTTTAAGCATCTTTCCCTGCTTTACATTTCCACTTCTGAGTTTTACTTTCATTTCTTCCACCATTACAGGAACATTCTGTTGTTTTCCTCTGCCATCTAGTGGTAAAAGAAAGTAATTTTCCTGGTTTTTTGAATGGATAGTCATCCCTTAAAAAGCATCCAGATTGCGCAGTAGTGCTAGCGACTTCGCAGTTCAGTCCTCGTACCCGACAGCCGCCACTGGTGCTGAGTTGCTAGGAAGCCCCTGTCAGCGAGCTCCTTGGAGCTTGAACCCATTGTCACCCCTCCGACTCACCGGCAAAAAAAAAAAAAAAAAAAAATGGTGGAAGCAGATCGCCCGGGAAAGCTCTTCATTGGTGGGCTTAATACGGAAACAAATGAGAAAGCTCTTGAAACAGTATTTGGCAAATATGGACGAATAGTGGAAGTACTCTTGATAAAAGACCGTGAAACTAACAAATCAAGAGGATTTGCTTTTGTCACCTTTGAAAGCCCAGCAGATGCTAAGGATGCAGCCAGAGACATGAATGGAAAGTCATTAGATGGAAAAGCCATCAAGGTGGAACAAGCCACCAAACCATCATTTGAAAGAGGTAGACATGGACCGCCCCCACCTCCAAGAAGTAGAGGTCCTCCACGAGGTTTTAGAGCTGGAAGAGGAGGAAGTGGAGGAACCAGGGGACCTCCTTCACGAGGAGGACACATGGATGACGGTGGATATTCCATGCATTTTAACATGAGTTCTTCCAGGGGACCACTCCCAGTGAAAAGAGGACCACCACCAAGAAGTGGGGGTCCTTCTCCTAAGAGATCTGCACCTTCAGGACTAGTTCGCAGCAGCAGTGGCATGGGAGGAAGAGCTCCTCTATCACGTGGAAGAGATAGTTACGGAGGTCCACCTCGAAGGGAACCACTCCCCTCTCGTAGAGATGTTTATTTGTACCCAAGAGATGATGGGTATTCTACTAAAGACAGCTATTCAAGCAGAGATTACCCAAGTTCTCGTGATACAAGAGATTATGCACCACCACCACGAGATTATACTTACCGTGATTATGGTCATTCCAGTTCACGTGATGACTATCCATCAAGAGGCTATGGCGATAGAGATGGATATGGTCGTGATCGTGACTATTCAGATCATCCAAGTGGAGGTTCCTACAGAGATTCATATGAGAGTTATGGTAACTCACGTAGTGCCCCACCTACACGAGGGCCCCCGCCATCTTATGGTGGAAGCAGTCGCTATGATGATTATAGCAGCTCACGTGATGGATATGGTGGAAGTCGGGACAATTACTCAAGCAGCCGAAGTGATCTCTACTCAAGTGGTTGTGATCGGGTTGGCAGACAAGAAAGAGGGCTTCCCCCTTCTGTAGAAAGGGGGTACCCTTCTCCACGTGATTCCTACAGCAGTTCAAGCCGGGGAGCACCAAGAGGTGGTGGCCCTGGAGGAAGCCGATCTGATAGAGGGGGAGGCAGAAGCAGATACTAGAAACAAACAAAACTTTGGACCAAAATCCCAGTACAAAGAAACAAAAAAAAAAGTGGAAACTATTCTATCATTACTACCCAAGGACTACTAAAAGGGAAAATTGTGTTACCTTTTTTAAATTCCCTGTTAAGTTCCCCTCCGTAAGTTTTATGTTCTTGTGAGGAAAAAGGTAAAACATGTTTAATTTTATTTGACTTCATGACACTGCTTTTCAACAAGCAAATGTTAAATGTGTTAAGCCTTGTTGTACTAGTAACTTTGTAACTTCTAACTTTCCAAGTAAAAGTGTCCCTAAAGACCACTTCCTATCTGGTTTCTCCCAGTAAATGAGGCAAGCAATTCTAAGATCTTCCACAAAACATCTAGCCATCTGAAATGGAGAGATGAATTGTTCTGCCTATACAAGCAAGCTAGCTATTAAGAGGGTGGTTGGGGTATGCTACTCATAAGATTTCATGGTGTTTTCCAACGGAAATCTCAATGTTCTTAGTATGCAAAACCTGAAATCAGATGCCTATGTAAGGAAATTGCTGTTCACCCAGTAAACCCAAAAAAAGCAAATGGATAATGCTGGCCATTTTGCCTTTCTGACATTTCCTTGGGAATCTGCAAGAACCTTCCCTTTCCCCTCCCACAATAAGACCATTTAAGTGTGTCTTTAAACAACTGCAGAATACTAAATAAAAAGTTTGGCCAGAACCAACCATGAAGCTGCAAAGGTGCTTGCTCTTACTGTTTCAAATTTTTGCAACTCTAGTGTCTCACGTTTAAAGGAACAGTTTGATTGCAAAGGAGAAAATAGTTAAGTAATGAAGTTATCTCCAACTTCCGAAAGGCTTATGACTTCTAAAAAGTGAATCTATCAGCATTCTACATCAGATTTAAAGCATCAAATGCCTGTGAAACAGCAGAGATGGTTGAGGATTATGCTCATTATGATTGTGGAGTGCTGCTGATTGATTCACAGTAGATAAAGCTGGCAGTAAGAGAAATCAAATGCTAAGAGTTGTTGAAGCAGAAGGCGGCTGATTGTCAGTAAGTCAGTACAGTTGCATAAGCAGTGCTGTCAGAATTGGTTTGGTGCAGGCAATAGATTTTGCCTTCAGGGGTTCCTGTGGATCTCAGGAAGGCATCAGTGTTGATTAACACTCATAACTAAGGAGTGAGTGGTAGTTACTTAAAACAAGTAATTGACCAAATGGAAAAGGGGAAGTAATTAAGGAAATTGGTAAGTGGAGGAAGTTCTTGTGGTCCTTTACATAGATTTTACAGCTTTGGGTTTCATTTTGTTTAACTAAAGTCATGGGGACAACTCTTCAATTTGGAGCTTAAAAATGGTAGCTCTATCTAGTGAAGTGTCTGTCAGTAAGTGAAACATTTTTTGGTGGTGGCTTATCCAGAAACAGTTTAGTTGTAGAATACAACTTATGAGTGACATCTGGAAAGTAACAACCATGCTAAGATGGCAAACACACTGGAAACAATTGGGCCACTTGGCTTTCTTTTGCTGTATTGTTTTATAAGCCTACTTTACTTCCCAGTCTTGGAAACAAGTTTTAGTTTATTGCTTTGGACACTAGAGCCAATAGTACAATGTTCTCAAAGGAAACAGACTTGAGTTGTTGGATTGGAGGAACTAATTGAACTTCTAATTTTTTTTTTTTTGTCATAACTATGGCACTGTCATGTTTTAACATTTGCAGCTAGGGATAGTAAGTACAACATTTTTAACTCTCATTTGACAGATTACTACTAATCACAGACCACAAGGGTAATGACCAAATTTATGTGGTTGTTGCACTTCCCAACCCTTCCATATTCTTATGATTACTTGGGTTACAGCCTCTGTGAGGACCTTTTGGCCCTTGAGATATCCTAAATATAGTATAGGATATAGAGATTGTACCAAATATGAATGAATATTGTTCAAAGCAAGGAGTATGTTAAAATGACGAGACACCAGTTTTGATAAATAGTTTACTGACCTAGCAGATGTGTGGAAAAATAATCAGATCTTGATTCTTCTGGGTCTATACTGGTTGTAAAACAATGATATAGAAAATGTTTTCCTTGTTTAACTGGTAGTTGAACATAGAACTTGGGTATTATAGATCACTTCTCACTTTTTGGAATGTTTTCTATTGAAACTTTAACATGGCAAAAAAAAAAAAAAAAATCCAAAATCTATGAGATAATTTTGTTAAAGTTGGCTTGGTTGGGGAGATGCTTGGTCCAGAGGGAGAAAAGAAGGCATGATTTCAGAATACTCTGGCAGCTTTATAAATTCAGCTTTATCAAGTTACAGTAAACTGTATCCATTTAGAATTACAACTCAATGGTTATTTTGACGGATGTATATGCCATGAAGCCACTGTCACCATCAACATGCACAACACTTCCGTCGCCCCCAAAAGATTCCTCAAGTTCCTTTGCAGTCCATCCCTCACGCTGCTGATTTATCTTTGTCACCATGTATTAGTTTGCTTCGTGGTGTTGTTTAGTACTTTATATAAATGGGATTGTGTAGTATGTACTTTTTTGTTTATGGTTTCTTTCACACACATAATGACTTTGAAATTCACCAGGTTGCAGTGTATTAGTAGCTTATTCCTTTTATTGCTGAGTAGTATCCCATTATGTGAATATGCCATTATTTGTTTTTCTACTTGCCTGTTGATGGACCTTGGGATTGTTTCCAGTTTGGGGCTACTGTGAATAAAACTGTTAGGAACATTTGTGTACAAGCCACTGTGTAGACGTAGGTTTTCCTTTCTCTTGGGTAAATACTTAACAGTAAAATGGTTGGGTTGCATGGCAGATTTATGTTTAATATTTAAGTAACTGCCAAACTGTTTGTTTTCCAAAGGTACTATACCCTTTTATATTCCCACTAGGGTTGTGTAGAGTTCCAGCTGCCCAGCATTCCTGCCAACACTCAGTTTTCAGCCATTCTGATGGGAATCTAGTGGTATCTCATTGTGGTTTTATTTTCATTTCCCCAGGTGACTAATGCTTGTAAGCATCTTTTAAGTACTTTTTGGCCAGTTGTATATCTTCTGTGAAGTTGTTGTCAAATCTTTTGCCCACTTTTAATTGGATTGTTTGTCTTACTGAGTTGTAAAAGTTGTTTATATATACTGTATTAAAGTCCTTTGTAAGATACATATTCGTAAATACTTTTCTTTCATTCTATGGCTCAGAATCTGGCAACTTTTTAAGAGATATTTGAGCCCACTGAATGTTATATAAATTTTATAGTTTTTTCAAGTCAAGCCATAATAATAATTAACGTTTTTTGAGTGTTCATCTTTCAGTCCCTCTATGGTCATGAAGGTGGGAGATGTGACTCTATTTAGTCTCAAGTAAAGGAGTGCAAACTGAGATAGTGGGTACAAATGGAGATGAAGCAAAGCCCTGTGATGTTCAAGTTCCTGGTTTCTGTTACCCTTCAGTCTGGCTGGACCTCTGCCTTTCCCATGGTAACATGAGCGTTCTAATGAATTCTCCCTTTTCACCTAAATTGTTTCAGATTGAGTTTCTGTCACGCAACTAAGAGATCTGATTACTATAGCTTTGGAACTTCTAAGGCATTTTATGCACTTGTCTCTTCCCCACTGTTCAACCTGAAGCATGTACTCTGCCCTTTAGCAAAAATCACAACTCCGCCAGGTGTGGTGACTCATGCCTGCAATCCCAGCACTTTGAGAGGCCAAGGCAAGAGGATTGTGTGAAGCCAGGAGTTTGAGTCCAGCCTGGGCAAAGCAAGACCCTCTCTACAAATGAATGTTTAAAAAAAAAAAAAAAACAAGGTTAGGCATGGAGGCTCACACCAGTAATCCCAGTAATCCCAGCACTTTGAGAGGCCAAGTCAGAAGGATCACTTGAACCCAGGAGTTTGAGACCAGCCTGGGCAACATAGCAATATTCTATCTCTACCAAAAAAAAAAAAAAAATTTAAGAACAAAATTAGCCAGATCGTGGTGTCACATACCTGTAGTCCCAGCTATTGAGAAGGCTGAGGTGGAAGGATGACTTGAACTTGGGCAGTTGAGGGTGCAGTGAGTCATGACTGCACCACTGCACTCTAGCCTGAACAACGGAGCAAGACTGTCTCAAAAAAATAAAAATTAAAATTAAACAGGCATATTGGCACACATATATCATCCTAGCTACTTGGGAGGCTGAGGTGGAGATCACCTTAGCCAGGAGGTTGAGGCTGCAGTGAGCTATGATGGTTGCACTGCACTCCAGCCTGGGTGACAGAGCGAGACCCTGTCTCAAAAAAAGACACCACAACTCCACCCGCAGAAGTAATAAAATCTCATGGAAGCATGAGCAGCCAACACAATTATATAGCAGGAAAGAAAAAGCAAAAAAGCTAGGAAGGAATACAACAAAGTTTCTTTTTAAGATCTGTATTTAAACAAAGACACTTAGGAAGTGGTACAAGTGCTAAGGAATGAATTAATACTAAATGTCATCAGTGTGATGGTTGGAACATCAAAATATACATAAGATATATATTATACATACATGTGTATATTATATACATATGTACATACATGTGTATGTATTATATATATACATATCTATATATAATACAGTTATGCTTCACTTAAAAACTGGGATACATTCTGTGATCATAGAGTGCACTTACACAAACCTAGATGGTATATAGCCTGCTACACACCTAGGCTATATGGCATAAACGATTGCTCTTTGGCTACAAATCTATACAGCATGTTACTGTACTTAATATTATAGGCAACTGTAACATCATGGTATTTGCATATCTAAACATAGAAAAGGTACAGAAAAATGCAGTGAGATAAGAAAATGGTACATCTGTGTAGAGCACTTTCCATGAATAGAGCTTGCAGGAATGGAAGTTGCTCTGGGTGAGTCAGTGAGTGAGTAGAGAGTGAATGTGAAGGCCTAGGATGTTACTGTACACTACTGTAGATGTTTTGAACACTGTGTACTTATGCTATACGAAATTTATTAAAACTTTTTTTTGCCGAGTGCAGTGGCTCATGCCTATAATGCCAGCACTTTGGGAGGCCAAGGCAGGTGGATCACCTGAGGTCAGGAGTTAAAAACCAGCCTGGCCAACATGGTGAAACCTCGTCTCCACTAAAAGTACAAAAATGAGGAAGGGCATGGTGGCTAACGTCTATAATCCAGCACTTTGGGAGGCCGAGTAGGGTAGATCACCTGAGGTCAGAGTTTGAGACCAGCCTGGCCAACATGGTGAAACCCCATCTCTATTAAAAATACAAAAATTAGCCAGGCCTAGTGGCAGTTGCCTGTAATCCCAGCTACTCGGGAGGCTGAGATAGGAGAATCACTTGAACCCGGGAGGTGGAGGTTGCAGTGAGCCAAGATTGCGCCATTGCATTCCAACCTGGGTAACAAGAGTGAAACTTCGTCTCAAAAAAATAAATTAATTAATTTTTTAAATACAAAGATTTGCTGAGCATGGTGGCACACGCCTGTAGTCCCAGCTATTCAGGAAGCTGAGGCAGGAGAATCACTTGAACCCAGGAGGCAGAGGTTTAGTGAGCCAAGATCGCACCACTGCTCTCTAGCCTGGGCAACGGAGTGAGACTCCGTCTCAAAAAAAACAAAACAAAATGAAAAACCTTTTTTCTTCAATAATAAATAGAAGACAAATTCACCTACTGTAACTTTTTTACCTTATAAACTTTTTAAATGTTTAATTTTTGACTCATAATAACACAAACTATACAAAATATTTAAAAATATTTTATGTCCTTATTCTATAAACTTTTTTCTATTTTTAGAAATTTTATTTCATTTTTTCACTTTTTTGTGTTAAAAACTAAGACACATACGTTAACCTAGTCCTACCCAGAACTGGATCATCAATATCGCTGTGTTCTACCTCCACGTCTTGTCCCAGTGGAAGGTCTTCAGGGGCAATAACATGTATGTAGCTGTCATTGCTATGATAACAATGTCTTTAGAATATCCTGAAGGACCTGCCTGAGGCTATTTTACAGTCAACTTTTTTTTTTTTTTAGTAAGGGTACACTCTAAAATAATAATAAAAGGTATGGTATAGTAAATACATAAGCCAGTAACATAGTTGCTTGTTATCAGTATCGAGTACTATGTACTGTATGTAATTTTATGTTCTAGACTTTTATATGACTGGCACTGCAACAGGTTTGTTTATACCAGCATCATCACAAACACATGACTAATGCATCGTGCCACAATGTTACAATGGCTCCACTAGGCAAGTAGGAATTTGTTTTGTTTTGTTTTGTTTTGTTTGAGAGGGAGTCTGGCTCTGTTACTCAGACTGAGGTGCAGTGGTGTGATCTGGGCTCACTGCAACCTCCGCCTCCCGGGTGCAATTCTCCTGCCTCAGCCTCCAGAGTAGCTGGGACTATAGGCGCATGCCACCATGCCCAGCTAATTTTTGTATTTTTATTAGAGACAGGGTTTCACCATATTGGCCAGGCTGGTCTCGAACTCCTGACCTTGTGATCCACCCGCCTCAGCCTCCCAAAGTGCTGGGATTATAGGCATGAGCCACTGCACCCGGCTGCAAGTAGGAATTTTTACCTCCTTGTAGTCGTTCGTTTGTTTGTTTTTGAGATGGAGTCTCGCTCTGTCACCCAGGCTGGAGTGCAGTGGCATGATCCCAGCTCACTGCAACCTCTGCCTCCTGGGTTCAAGCGATTCTCCTGCCACAGCCTCCTGAGTAGCTGGGACTACAGGCACTTGCCACCACGCTTAGTTAATATTTGTATTTTTCATAGAGACGGGGTTTTACCATGTTCGCTGGGATGGTCTCAAACTCCTGACCTCAGGTGGTCCGCCCACCCCAGCCTCCCAAAGTGCTGAGACTACAGGCATGAGCCACCATGCTCAGCCTGCTCCATATAGTCTTATGGGACTACCATCATATATGCGATCTGTCATTGACTAAACGTGTTGAGGCAGCACATCACATGACTCTGTTGTATATATAATGTAAAGCTTCAATAAATGTACATCAAAAGTGAATGTGTTTAGTTTGATAGAACCAGATGACTATAACATTGAGGATATTATCTTTCTTGTGATAATTAGTAGTTTTGTTACAATAGAGTACTCACCTTCCACATCAAACTTTAAAATGAGGAGAAAAAGAGCAGAGACCATATTATTAAAATGCACAGTAGAAACACCAAAATAC